CCCAGCCTGGCCCGAAGTAGTCCGATTATAAATAAATAATGGCCAGAATTAAGCTTAATTCTAGCCATATTGAAACTATGTTTTTGTATTATTAATTTGATAAGAAGTAATGGTAACTTTTATTATCTGACTATTTAATAATTTTTATTTTATAAAGTTTAGTAAACTTTATAAAACAAAAAAAATTAAATTACTAAATCGCTAATAAATTTTTATTTATTTATAAATCTAAATCGTTATAAATCTAAATCGTTTTTTTTTTTTACTTTATACAAATGCTATCAGCTAACTTTATTAATTTTATAAATTTCAGAAGTGATATATATTGTGAGAGTACAACTAGCCACATGTACAATTTTAGGTTGTCTATTTTAAGTAGTCCATCTGAAAGTTCTACATTAGCTGTTATACTTGAAATTTCTTAGAAGATTCTCTATTTAAACTCTCTGGTCTTATCTTACTTATTACAAATATTGCTCTTATAGTTAACTCTAACCCTGTACTACTTCACTTTGGGAGGTACCTAAGTTGATATTAGTCGCAAATTTTACTATTATGGGTCTAGGTCTTATCTGAATAAGTTCTACTTCAACATCCTCTAACAGATAGATATCATAATACTCAACTATACTACATTATATTTTTTTAACTTAGGTGATTTTGCCCTTTATTTATTAAGAGAAAACATATATGATATTATAACAAAAATAAAACTAATCTATAATAGCTATATAATTGCCTTCTTTTTCTAATTCTAGACTCACTCAGCTACCCTAGATGCCCAAGTACGATCAGCTGCAAAAGTGATTTTCCTCCTACTAGAGCAGTTTGCCTAAGCAAATTCATGCTCTAGTGATCTATAGAAAGCTTTTCTACGCTTATTCAAGAACCCTTAGTTATTTTTAAAACTTAACTAGCTTTTTTTTAAGCCTTTTTCAATTCATGTCTTCACTTTAGCTTCAGCTAGGTTTTGGATTCTCTCTTCCTTGCCTTTATTTGATTCCTCATAGTTGTTTCTGCTTAAATTCTGGTTTTCTTTATTTGATGTGTTTTCTTTTTCGAGTTTATTATACTTTCGCTTTACTTTTTTCTGTT